CTGGGGTGCGTCCTGCCCCTCTGACCTTGGGATTTGAGGGCAGGAGAGGGAGGACGCTGAAGCGTGTGACCTGCTCCTCCGACCTCGGGTTTGGGGTGCTCCCTTTGACTACTGACTCCATTTTTTGTCTTTTATTTTTGTTTCTGCTTTTTCTTGGTTTCTTGAGTAAAGTCTCCATGGCGCATCAAATTGTGTATTTTTTTACAAGGACCCTGTGCTGCCGCTTTGCCAGCTTTGCTGTGCCACGGGTGAGACGGGCCTGTGCCACAGGTCAAGTGGGTCTTGTGGTGGCTGCCATGTCGTCCTGGCCACGCCCCCCCCCCCCAACGAGGAGAGGAGCCACAGGCCACTGAAGACTGCCTTTTCGGGGCTTTGTGGGAGAATGTGGCTGGACGTTTTCCCAAGAGGGAGGCACTCTCCTGCCCGGTCCCTGGCCCCTGGCCCCTGGCCCCAGGCCAAGCCCTGTGAGAGAGGCGTCACCTCTGGCTGCTGTGGTGCGTGTTGAGGATTCCAGGGCTGAAAACAGGACCCTAGGCACTGTCCACACAGCAAGGCAGTCTCTTAAATTAATCCAGTGTGGGGGGAATTGGGGTTGAAACCCATTTGTGAGCCAGTACTTCCTTGGGGCAATTTGAAAAATGCAGATTTTATTTTTGTGCCCTAAATGCATAATTTCCTTTAGGCCGACGCCTGGTCCTGTGGCCGCGTGGAGGAGCCTGAGCCAGCTGCCTTCACTCAGTGTGCAGCAGCTCAGACGGGGGGGCAGAGGGCGTGACATCCCCCCGCCGTGCGCCTCCGTCCACCCGGCGCCTCCCTCCGCCCCGCGCCCCCCTCCGCCCCGCGCCCCCCTCCGCCCCGCGCCCCCCTCCGCCCCGCGCCTCCCTCCGTACCTGCTTGCAGCTGAGTCCACATTGAATAAATTTGGCCTCAATCATTCGCTTCACCCATCATGTCACTGTGTAAGTGCTGAGGTCAGCATAGGAGCTAAGAAACATTTTAATGTGTAGGAAACTGAGCGGCATTTGTACCTCGGCAGTGGAATAATACATTTTGTTTAGTTGAGCTTGAGGCAGAGAGGCCATTGTTGTGACAGGTTCCGCACCGTGCCAGAGGCAGAAGGCCCAGGCATTGCAACCGCGACGTATTTAAGCCACTTTTCCTAAAATAAACTTCGTGTTTTAAATAATAGATGTTTACCTCCCAGGTTAGACCTTAAATATTCCCATTTTCACTGAAATAGCATTTTTTTAAAGGACGCAGCATTCATGTGCCATCAGAGAACTGCCACAGGAGTCCTGGGAGTTTAAATGGGCGTTTTTAAACCACATGACCTGGGCCAGGCCCTCAGAGCTGCCCGCGCCCCTCCCCAGCCCCCGGAGGGTGTTTTGGTCAGAGACCGTTTACATATGTTTTCTACGTGAATTAAATATTCAGGTACCAAGTCTTGAAAAATGGAATGCTGTGTGCAGGGCCTGCCTCCTAATCCGACTCTGCTTTTCCTTTTACATTTCCCGTCCTAAAAGTGTTTGAGTCCCACAGAGAATCCAGGCTTCTCAGAAAGTTCAGGAAACGGGCAGAGGCTGGCATCACCCTCCCTGGGAGCTGAGGGCCTGGACGGGCAGGTCCTAGTTCCCTGTCCTGATGGTTTGCGTGGAGACGCTGTTGTGTGCATAGGGAAGAGAGTCTCTTGTTGGGAAGGGAAAGGCGTTTGTCCTGCAGTTACTCAGCCTTGGCAGGAATCCCTTTGGAATGTGGGTGGCCTTTGTCACGGACTCCTGCAGGTGCCATGCACATCGCAGCCGTGTCCTCGTCCCCGCCTGTGGCCTCCCCACCGCGTTTCCACATGGCGCCCGTGCACATCGCAGCTGTGTCCTTGTCCCCGCCTGTGGCCTCCCCACCACGTTCTCACGTGGCGCCATCGTTTGGCATGCGGCTTTGTGTTTCAGACCCCACATGCCCCTCCGTTGTCTCAGCCGGGGTTCGAGTCCCAGCCCTGCCTGTCAGTCTGGGCCTGGCGGTCAGGCCCTCAGTGACAGCAGCCAGAGCTTCACTGCGGCCTCCTCCCGGGGGGCTCTGAGTTCAGCCGCTGGGGAGACTGGCTTGTTCTTGACTGCAGTGACCACAGGGAGGCTGAGGCTGAGCTGGAGCTGTGGAGTGGGGTCATCTTGCTGCCTGCCCGGGCCCCTCCAGGACCATCTCCCCTCTGCCCACCGAACTCTGAGAATCTGCTGTGTGAGGGGCCGGGGCCCATCCTTGCAGTCTGTGAGGGGCAGCCCCCGGCTCGGGCTCCCCTGCCCTCCCCAGAGCCTCACTGGCCCTGCGCAGATGTCTGTGTGTTCAGTGGCATCCGCCGTATTTTCCTGTGGCAGGAACATGCCTACAGGAGTGCAGGATTCGCCTCTTCACGTGGTCGCTGTGCTGCAGTTGCCATCTGTTTTCAGAGGTTTAAAAACTAGTTTAGTAAGAACATCAACCCTTAACGTGACCAGAGGGATTTGCGTGTCCCAGGACGGGTGGTTCCCAGGGAAGGGCGTTGCCGCAGGCCCTGCACGGATCACCTGATAATCTCAGGCTCCGAGGCTGGGGCTCACCGGGGCGTGCTTTGGGGACGCACATGGGAAGGCGCTCTGAGGGAGGCGTGCTCTGGGAGGCCCTGCTGCGCAAGATGTGACCCCCACAGCCTCACTCCAGGCCTGTGTGCTGGCTTTGAGAAGCAGACATTCCTGTTCCCAGCAAAACTTGCCTCTTGCAAATAGACTCACACTGTAGTGACTGTAAATTGTGGCGTTAAAGATAAAAACAAACAGTTCTAAAAATAACTCAGTGCGGAAGGCGGACCCGTGCTGTGGTGCGGAGGATGAGGGGGAGAGGGAGGGTGCTGCGCTGCCATTTACCTCTCAGACGCCAAGAGCAACTTGTCCTGTAGAGCAGCTGGTCCTAAACATGTGTGCACCGGCCAAGAGCTCACGCCTTCCCAGAGGCAGGAGCAGAGCCCGGATCCTGGAGGAAGACCCGGACCGCTCCATTCACCTGGGTCTTATCCGGCCGTGTGGGTTTTGAGCCTCACACACACAGCGCTGGTCAAGAAGCTGTGAGCGGCTCCGTGGTGGTGTGGGCCATAGACACCTCCACGTATAGTTGCCCTGGGCAGTGTCTGCTGCCCATGTCCGCCTCTGGACACCGCTGCTTGGCCGCCTGGATGGTGTTGAGTACTCCCCTGCCTCTGCAGGAGGAGAGGTGCAGCGGGCCGTCAGGAAGGGCCCGTGGTGCCGTGTGTGTGCACATGCAGCGTGGCATCCACTGATCAGGAGCGTGAGTCATGTGCTGCCCAGTTCCAGGTTACTGGACCACAGGAACGTGGGTCATGTCTTGTGGGGCCTTGTCTAGATTTATTCGTGAAGCAAGGCCTTGTACAAGGCTCAGCATGGACATAGCGTTTCCTGCACTCACTACCCCACCAGCTTCACGTGGCCTCGGCATGGGGCACGCACAAGCTCCCCACCAGCTTCACGTGGCCTCCGC